ATGACATTTGTTTAATGATGGTCCAAAGTTACAACGGTCTCAGAAAAAGTGAATTTACAAATTTTCCCCCAAGTTAATACTGTCACATTACTCCCAGGGTCACGTAATCATAATTCAGATATCTGGCAACCAGCTAGCATTTATGATGGCTGCGGCGTCTTGGGGGGGGGGGGTCACATGATCATGTTTTGTGATCTTCCCAGCCAGCTTCTGACAAGCAACTGGGGAAGCCAGATTCACTTAACCCAGGGGTGGGCAAATATGGCCCCTTTATGACCTGTGGACTTCAACTCCCAGAATTCCTGAGCCAGCTTGGCTGTCTCAGGAATTCTATGAGTTGAAGTCCACAGGTTGTAAAGGGCCACAGTTGCCCACCCCTGACTTAACCGTATGATTTGTTAATGAACATGGTGATTTGCTTAACCACAATAAAAATGGTTGTAAAATTGGGCTTGATCGTGTGAGAACTTACTTAATGACCACATCACTTAGTGACCAGAATTGCAGTTCCAATTATGATCGTAAGTTACGGACTACCTGCATTTAGGTTTCTTTAAAGTTTTTAACAATCAGTCAGTAGCTTGTGATAACATCATACTTTGCTGTCCTTTTATACCCTAGTTTTCACAGGCATCAGTTCTTACTATCCAGTTATATAGCTAACATCTTCTATATAATATCTGAATATTTCACCTACCATTTTATAATAATAATAACTTTATGTGTTATTGTATGTATTTATATGTATACACAGTATACCCATACAACGAAATTCACTTAACACCCAAAGACCAGGTCCAACACACATAACAATCCCCAAACATCCCCCACCCACCACAAATTCCCCACCCCTAAACCACCCAAACATCCATACAACAGACCAAGTAATGCTGTCCAACAGCTCACTGATGGTGGCCCTTTAGTTCATCGTTGAGTGCAATTACAGGTCTGGGATAAAAACTATTAGGAAAACGCGTGGTCCGAGTTTTAATTGTTCTGTATCTTCTGCCAGAAGGCAACAGTCCGAAAAGATTCTAAGCAGGATGGGAAGAGTCTCTGAAAATGTTCTGCAATGTTATAGAGCAAAAGGTCTTTTTCTTTCTTATTTGGTAATACTTGGTTTAATTCAGATTTTACAAGGAGTTTGAACTTCAGCTACAGATCTGACCTAGGGCCCAATAGCTGGGAAGAGAACCAGGAAGTATCCAGGCTTTGCTTGGCTTGTGGCTAAGAGCACAAGATACTCTAAAGTCAGAAAATTCTATCATCTAACTCAATTCTATTTACAGGGACCAATAGTGACCTTTCAGGATTTTAGGCAAGCTCTTCCTCGTTATCCTTGGAAATTCCAAGGATTAAGCCATTTGGATGAAAACGTGTGCCCTATCCCAAGCCATGATTTTTCTGTGCAAGAAAAGCACAGAAAGGAAGATGGCTCTCTGTGTTGTGGCTCCGATCACCGAGCCTGTGTTATCAGAAGGAGAGGACTCCGAGAGTGAAGGAGAGGAGTTGGCAAGGCCTCCCTCTCCAGGACCCTCCTCTCTGGCAATGCCTCCGGTGTCCTCCGAAGGACAAGAGATAGGGCCGGGGCCAAGCACTTCCACGCAGCCACAGGTGGACAGTAATGATGATGATGATGAGTCTTGGCTGGACCCTCGACAGCGTCGCAGAGATAAGCGCGCGCAGCAGAGGAAGAGGCGTGCCAGGGATTAGGCTGAGTCACTGGACCACACCCCACAGGGTATAAAAGAGGGTGTGGTGGCCGGTTCAGCTCTGTGACAAGCAAAAAACGGATATCGGACAACCTTCTTTGTATTTACTGGACTTTGTTGATTATTGTGTGTTGACTTTGTTTCCGGACGAAGGGAGAAACTCCCCCCTCGTGAGTAAAGAATACTTGGCAGCCAGCCACTGGGTTGCTGCCAATTCTGATACCGGATAAACTGTTGTCGGCTGAATTCTTTAACTGTTGCCTGTCTGTGGGGGTGCGTGTGTGAGACGGGGACAGAACACTCTGTTCGTCTGAATAGTAATCACACTTTTCTTTAAAAAAAAAAAAAGCTGAGAAAATCATTTACTAGAAGATTGCTTATGTTACAGTTTCATCTGACACTATTAAAAACTTGTTATAATGCACAACTTCATTTAATGATAAACATTGATAAAATGTATGTTAATATTTAAACATATCATACAATATCAAGCATCACTCTTTAGCATAGGGGTGTCAAACTCAAGGTCTGGGGGCCGGATCCGGTCCACAGGGTGCTTAGATCTGGCCCGCGGGGCTTCCCCAGATACAGCTCGCAGTGCCTCTGCCAGCAAAAATGGAGCTCGGGAGCTCCGTTTTTGCTGGCAGAGGGTTGCAGGAGGCCATCGCAGCCAAAAACGGAGTTCGGGAGCCCGTTTTCGCTGGCAGACCACTCGGGCTACCACAGGCGCTCCCCGACATGAGTGACATCGAGTTGGCCATGCCCACCCTAGTCATGCCCCCCTGCCCCCTTCAAAGACAAACACAACCCTGATCTCAACCCAAAGTCAAACACAACCCTAACCCACAATGAAATCGAGTTTGACACCCCTGCTTCAGCATATCCCATCGCGCAAAGATAGTAAGTATCTTGCCATAGGTTCATCATCATGGTTCCATAATATCTGAACATTTCGCCTACCATTTTATAGAGCAAAAGGTCTTTTTCTTTCTTGTTTGGTAATACTTAGTTTACAGTATCTTGGTAGAACTAAGCTTATACTGCACATTAAACCATACAAATGATTGTCTCAAGAAGCTTGTCCAGTTTAGCCGATTTGAAGAATTCTTTGGCACACACCAATAATTGACAGGCAGTGTCACAAATATATGCTTAGTTCTGCTTGGCATCATTTTGCTCATTAATTTAATAAACTACCAAGGGAATATGTTCAGAACCGGTAAGCATTATCGCCTGAATTTCATTTAATTAAACCCTGCTTTAGCAATATGACAGTCAGCATTTCATGATGGGAATTGTTTTTAGAATGAAGACAGAAAATGTTTCAAAATGATCCTGCTAAACATGTAAAAGCATGAAATCTACCCTTCCATCCCTTGTAATTTATTTCTAGTATTAAATATGTTATTTACAAAGCTAGTAATTAATTGGATTCCATTTCAAAAATATTCACAGGATCCTTGTAACAAAGCAACATACAAACAACACATAATATCAAGGAACAGCTATAATTATTTTTAAAAAATCATCTCAAATTCTTAGAGTTATTGATCTTAATGCACAGTGAAGCTAGCTGCCTTTGGTAAGCAGATATCAGTCTGCAGCAAAGTGATTTACATTAAATGTTGCTTACATTATTTAATAAAATGTAAAGAGAATGGTTCATCATCTAGTACAGGGGTGTCAAACTCAAGGCCCGGGGGCCAGATCCGGCCTGCAGGGTGCTTAAATCTGGTCCATGGGGCCACCCTGGAAAAAGCAAAGGACCGGCCTGCGGTGTCTTGCCCGGCGCACGCCAACCAGGCACTGATCTACAACCTGGTGGTGGCCGTTTTCGTTGGCCGAGTGCTGCAGGAGGACGTTGCAGACGAAAATGGAGCTTGTGCCCTTCCTGAGCTCCATTTTTGCTGGCAGAATGCTGGAGCAGGCTTTTCGTTGGAAGAACGCTCCACGAGGCCATTGCAGCCAAAAACGGAGTCCACCTCTCAAGCTCCATTTTCGCTGGCAGAGTGCTAACAAAACCAACTTCCTTGCCCTCCGCTGCCTAGGGCTCTGGACAGCCTGTGCCGCCGTCCAGGGGATCTCTGTGTGGCCTGAGGGGAACGCGAGGCTTCTCTGGAGGCTTCTCTGGAGGCCCTCTCCCAGGTCTTACCTTCCTCCACTGGATCCCCCCAACCCCGTCCAGGCCACCACAGGTGCACTGGACACAAGTGACATCGAGCTGGCCATGGCCACCCTGGCCACGCCTACCCACCCTCCCGAGGTCACACAGAACCATGATGCAGCCCTCAATGAAATAGAGTTTGACACTGCTGATCCAGTAGCTTTTCTTTACCCTTTTCCAGTAGTTTTCTTTTTGATACCCTGCAGTAAGTTTACAAAAGCCATTGTGCCCCATACTGGCTGAAGAAAAGCTGCATCACAGTGAGGGCAAAATGTTGCAAGGTAACCAATCTTTAGTTAAACTCAGCCTTTTGCATTATATGGATGGAAATAAATGGATCCAATTCCTATCTCCTGACCTACAACTGTATTCTCTGCTTCTTTTAGAGGAACTTTGTTCCTTGAACAGTTAAAAAAGTTCAGATAAACTTTACAAACCAGATAATGGTTCAATGTTTCATCTATGTACCACATTATAAGAAACAAAAGCCACTCTCAATATCTGGTCAATATCATTAACACTATATGGAAGAAGACTTACAGCTGCTCAGTTTCAAACCAGGCCCACCAAAGACCACAAAGAGAGGTTTTGTAAACCTCCAGTAGCAGATCCTTCTGTTCTTGCAATGTTAGCCAAGTAGACAGCGCTGGCTCTTCGGCTTTGAAACAGAGATGAGCACCGCCCCCTAGAGTCGGGAACGACATATGTGCGAGGGGAACCTTTACCTTTACCTTTAGTACCCTTTCTATGATTAAATTAGAGGAAAAATACTAATGATAAACAAGCTTAAGGGAGTCAGATGCCAAATGACAAGAATTACCTCCTTGCAGATGAGATTCCAACTGTTAGTAGTTAGGTTGCTTCCTTTGCCATGCTCTCTTTAAAACTCAAAAATAATTCTTTAAGTTCTTAATTTTACTATTGGTTACAGTTTAACTCCTGTATATGCTTTTTTTTTTTGTTATGTTTTCCAGTCTTCCTTCCGAATTATTTTTTTTATCCTGTAAAAGGACAACCTATGGCCGCAACAATAGATAGATTGATTAGTATGGTACTGTTCAAACTTCTAATTGAATACTCTCCAAAGGACATAATTCAAGTTCTGCTTAGTTTTTAAGGCTTACCATCAATCCGACTAACAAGTTCTTCCAGCATTTTCACTTTCTTCTGAATACCAGGTTGAGCAAAGGTATAGTTATCCTAGGAGACAAAAACATTTTAAAAATTAACTGTTGACCAAGAGATACAAAAAAGGTGCTTCAAAAACTTCACCTGGTTAAATGAATATTGCATTTCTAGATAGCACCTACTTTCAGTTTCTCCCACTTTTGATAAATGACCAACAACAAAATAATGAAGTTACCAAGAGAAATAATTATAACCACTTAGCTGCTGTTAAAATCTGTCATTCAACAATGGAACACTGTGGCCTATTTAAGTAAGAAACCCTTTTCTAATTATGTATCACCAACTAAAAGTTAAGAGTTATACCACCTGAGAGAAAATAAATACATCAAACAGAGAGCAGAAGTAGGGAGAGTGTAGACTCATTGATGTGTTATGTTTGTTATTAGGGTGTCAATTGTTACTTCAGCAAAAAGGACTGACATGACATCAATATTGCAAACATGAGAAATTGTCAAGGGAACTTTCTTTATAGTAAAGCCAACAATATATTCTCAAACCTTGGAAATAGTTACCTATCCCATACCACAGTTCTTGTTAAAAAAAAAAAAAGAAATGCATTGTAAATGCTCCATTATTCTGTATTCTAAAAAGTCAACTTCTTTGACAAAGTATTTAAGAATTCTAGGTATGACATGCTAAAATATTGAAAAAGGATTTTCATTCCAGTTGAAACAGTAGTATGTTTTGGGTTTTTTTTGTCCTCAATGGAGAAATATTGCTTATAAAAAAAATGATAGTTCAAATTCTAAGTGGTGAGGTAATTGTATTTCTGTGCTTTGAAAAAGAGCTACATGGTGCAGATTTTCCTTTCAATACTTTAAAAGAGAAGAATGCACAAGCCATATTAAAGCTTTCAATCCACTAACCATTTTTCAAACCACCTTAAAATTCTTATTGGATGCTACGCGACATGCTTTATACATCATTCTCTTGACAAATAGATACGTTTTAGGACGATTAAGAAACGACAGAAAGGAATGGTAAAAACAATGCAAAAGAGAACATTTTCCCAAACAGCAGTAGTCGCAAACAGAGAAAAGTGCATCTGTCAATAACTAAATTATTCTGACAGGGAAAAAAGAGCAGTCAGGAGATCACTGGGGCTCACAGGATCATACAGTATGTTCACCAACTAATTTCTTATTAAAATTAAACGGGTGCTTTTTCCCCAGATAGAAATTGCCTTATTCTATCTACCTACATGGAGGTTTTTGTTTCAGCCCATGTATATTCATGGCCATGATAGGGGATGCTTAAAAACTAGGCCATTCAAAGACTGCTTTCATTGATACAAGCCTACTGAATGTAAAGCATCACAATGCATTCTACGTGATGCCAGCTAACTAGATGGAATGATTTAAAGTACCATTCTCATACTTGCAGCTATTCCAAAAAGAAATCTGACTGCTCAAATGGGAAGCATAAATATAAGTGCTTAACTCTACTGATCTCTTCTGATATCAATTCATTGGGTTAGGTATGAATTTACAGCGAACAATGACCACTGGTCTCATCTTTGATTGAAATATATTCACTGCAATTACACATAACACACTGAGAAAAGGTTCAGAGCAACCTTGAGTCCTTTAATATAAATTCTTTGTATCTGTGCTAAGCTATCTTTTAATTAATCCTATTCCTGTTCGCATTACTTGTATTAATTTATCATTTTGAAATATTTGCATTTTAACTACTATTCAGCATTGCAATTTGATTTAGGCTTTTTTTTAAAAGGAGAAGTTTCTTATTTTAAAGAAAATACTGATAAGGCCACCTTGTTTGGAATGATGGCATATACATTCTTATCTACTAAAAATGCCTACCAAGGTGTGGCAAAATAGTTTTGTTTCAGTCATAGAAAGAACAATGAACTGATTTATGGGGGGGGGGAAGTACCGCAGAATTGATAATGGCCCAGTTCATGATAAATTATTTTTACCAGGAAGAATCAGGCAGGTGGCCTTTTACCAATAAATGCAGTATCACCAACTGCTACATCCTATTTATCAACTGCCTGTTTTTCAACATCTCCAATGTACCTCCAATTGGTACGCGGTGGCTCAGTGGCTAAGACGCTGAGCTTGTCAATTGAAAGGTTGGGAGTTGAGCGGTTTGAATCCCTAGTGCCACATAATGGGGTGAACTCCAGTTACTTGTCCCAGCTTTTTCTGCCAATCTAGCAGTTCGAAAGCACGTAAAAATGCAAGTAGAAAAATAAGGACCATTTTTGATGGAAAGATAACAGCGTTCTATGGGCCTTTGGTGTTTAGTGATGCTGGCCACATGACCACAGAGACTTCTTTGGACAGCGCTGGCTCTTCGTCTTTGAAACAGAGATGAGCCTAGAGTCGGGAACGATTAGCACATATGTGCAAGGGGAACCTTTACCTTTACCTTTAATGTACCTCCAAACCCAAATGCAAATGAAATATGCCCACTGGTTAGAAAAGAGATATCAATTCACCTGAATGCCATCAAGCAGTTTGCTCATGCACCAGAAACTGTCAGCTTCAATATTCTGCAGTACCTCAGTAGAAAGACTGGAAACATCAAAATTTTCCAAATCCTCTTCTGAAATAAAGAGAAGGTGAGAATGTCAATTAACTGTGGGAGAGAAACACAAGATTTAACACACAATATATAATCTTAATTAAATTTAACTATGAAAGTTAAAGTCAATGTCTTTGGCTAAGGACTAGACATTCTAAGTAATGCAATTTGACTAAGGCATGAGCTTTGGTTGATCAACAGCAATATTTGGGAATTCAGTTTATTAGATATTAAAAATACCCACAAGGCATTGTGAAAAATTGTAAGTACTTTGGCATACAAATACAAAAATCTGGAAAAGATGAAAATCTTCCAGCACAGGTTCTCTTTCCATTCTGCATCATGATCTCAATAGATCCCAAAGACTTCCATAGTTATTTAAATATATTTACAAGATCCCAAAGGTATCATCATGTCCAATGAAAAGTGTGGTTCATCCCCAAGGAAAGTTTAAAACACAGTAAGTGATAAAAGAAATAAATTGGTTAATTTCATGGTATAACAGACAAAGTATACGATAGTTTAAGAGATTAATTGTTATGATCTCTAGGAATAATGAAAGTTTCAGATTCATGTTCTAACTAAGCTCAGATAACCCAGTAAATCAGCCAAGAAAAGAACAAGAAGCCAACTTTTTCTGTTCTTTTTTTTTTTCTTTGTATTGTTGTTCTTATAATTGTGGTGAAACTAAATAACAGCAAAAGGGGATTTAATTGGATTGTTTTAAATTATTTGGGCCAAAATTATTTAATTGTTTTTAAATTGTTTTTAAATTTTGTATACTATGTTTTATTTTGGCTGTGCACCGCCCTGAGTCCTGTGGGAGAAGGATGGTATAAAAATATAAATAAATAAATAATAAATAAATAAATTTGTAATTAATGTGCAGATAGATCACAAATCACTGCAAGGTGATTTTTGTTAAGTGGTACTAGTGGTTTTTCTTGGCTTTCTAATAGTGATGGCAATATCAAAAAGTTCAAAATTGGTTGCAGGGTGGATTTGATTTAAATCGAGTTGATTTAAATCACAATTAAAATCATGATTTAAATCACTAGTAAAAAGGCTTGATTTAAATCAACTCAATTTAAATCATAATTTTTAAAGAGCAACTGTCATCTCTGCTACTCCTTTGACCCACTGTTGACTCACCGATAGTCCCAGTGTTGCAGAATATACAGCCTCATGCTACGTAACTAAGCTCCATTTCATGCTGAATAAACTAAATTATTTATGTATCTTAAATAGAAAACTATCTTACGATAGATTTTTACCCCAAAAGTTTTTTATTAAAATAAATTTGATAAAAATCAAAAAAATCCGATTTAAATCAAAAAAATCTGATTTAAATAAAAAAACTGATTTTTTAAAAAATTTTTAAAAAAAATCATTGATTTTTATCCACCCTGATTGGTTGTAAGTCATTTCATTCATGCAGTACTTATCTCCCAAATTTAAAAAAAATACAATAAACTTTACTGAATTTAACTAGCTTCAACAGTCTAGATGTTGATATAACCCATCAATTCCTATACCAATGGTTTATCAAAATATAAAATACAAAAAAAATAAAAATAAAGGGAAAGTGGGAGGGGAGGGGAAAAGTATAGAGTAAAAGAGAAAAAAGAAAGAATAGCACTGACTTCTGACTCTTTTTAGTGCAGTAGAATAAGGTAATAACATACAGCTTCAACTTTTTACTTTTACATAATAATATACTGTATACTAGCTATGTCTATAACAGCAAACCTATCCAATCAGCAAAACCAAAGTCAATGTTTTATTTTATTTTTTTCTACCTCGAGCACAAAGTCGAGAAGAGGTTTCCAAGTAGAAACAATTTTCCACTTTTCTTTGTATTTTATGTTTTGATAAACTAATTAAAAAATTAAATGCCAAAATTTGCCTATACCAATGGAAATGAATAGTCATATCTTTACAATGAAGGATAAATGCAAAGTAGCAAAATGGTTTCACATTCTTTATGATCTCCATATTAATAATAAAGTCAGATCAAGACTTTTGGGGAGGATTCTCTCAGTATTATGCACATGGGATCCTACCATTTGGAAATTAGCATTTGATACAATATAAGTCATACACTTCAATTCAGTAGTAGATCATTTTCAGCTGGACCAGGGTGGATAAAAATCAATGATTTTTTTAAAAAAATAAAAAAAAACAGATTTTTTTTATTTAAATCGGATTTTTATTTATTTAAATCGGATTTTTTTAAATTTTTATTGAATTTATTTTAATAAAAAACTTTTAGGGTAAAAATCTATCGTAAAATAGTTTTCTATTTAAGATACATAAATAATTTAGTTTATTCAGCACGAAATGGAGCTTAGTTATGTAGCATGAGGCTGTATATTCTGCAACACTGGGACTATCGGTGAGTCAACAGTGGGTCAAAGGAGTAGCAGAGATGACAGTTGCTCTTTAAAAATTCTGATTTAAATCGAGTTGATTTAAATCAAGCCTTTTTACTAGTGATTTAAATCATGATTTAAATTGTGATTTAAATCAACTTGATTTAAATCAAATCCACCCTGAGCTGGACAAAGGAAATCTACCAATAACTGCAAAATACTATATGTTTCATGGCTACAGTAGAAGAAACACTCTTTAGATTATCCCAAAGGTGCTTTTTTCCAAGATCCGAAGAAGTTTCTTGGATGAGAAATGAAACGTCTTCAAAGAAAAACCAGAAAGTCCAGTTGCCTCTTGAAAAAAGCACCTTTGGGACAACCATGACCTGGATGACTAAAAATCTTCATAGACCCTCTTTAGATTACATTTTATTTCAATGTATTGAAATATACTGAAGACGCTCTTTTTCATGGAATTATAATGAAATAGATCAGCAAGAAGCTTAGAAATTAGTAGTTTCAGATTTTCAAATATAGAAACTTCAACATCTACAATGGGATGGTTTTTTTAGTAATAAAATGTTAAACCCTACCAATGTTTCATCTTTCTCAATAAGGGTTTGACAACTCCATGTTCTACAAACCCACATACAATAAGGAAGCCACCATGTTTAGAAATGCCATTAGCTGTTTCAATATATAGATATTAACCTATCTTTGCAGGGTTGTTGCTGAGAAAGTAAAAAATGGAGAATGTTATGAATGTCACCTTGAGCCCCTGGAGGAAAGTAGGACACAAATCTAATAAATGACAGAAGACAATTACAGTGAATTGCCTAGAATGGGTCAAAAGCGATCCGTTTTAAGAAAAGCTAAAAGAACCAAGAACAGCAGAGTACTTAACACTGGAAGTTTATATACAACATAATCTTATTGGAAAGCAACACTTTAAAAACCGCTGCAGTTCCTAGATGGCTCCAAAGTAAGAATACAGATAGTCCTCGACTTACAACAGTTCATTTAGTCACATTTAGTTCGAAGTTACATCATCACTGAAAAAAGTGACTTATGATGGTTTTTCACTTAGGACTGTTGTACAGCATCTCCATGGTCATGTAATCAAAATTCAGATGTTTGGCAACTGGCTCATATTTATGATGGTTGCAATGTTTTGGGATCATGTGATCTCTTTTGCGGCCTTTTGACAAGCAAAGTCAATGGGGAAGACATATTCACTTAACAACTGTGTGACTAACTTAACAAATGCAGTCAGGGGTGAAATGCTCCCAGTTCGGACCGGATCGCCTGATCTGGTAGCAATGGTGGCGGGTGGTTCGGAGAACCGGTAGCAAAAATCCCTGTGCCACCCCCCCCCCCATGCCCAGTTGAGCCGACAATCATCAGAGGCTTTTTTTTTTTACTTTTAAAAGCATTTTTTCTGCAACCTCTTCCGACGAAAAAATACTTTTAAAAGTAAAAAAAAAAGCCTCTGATGATCATGCAGCTCAGCTGGGATCATCAGAGGCTTTTCAAAGCATTTTTTTCTGCAACCTCTTGGCCGAAGAGGTGGTAAAAAAAATGCTTTGAAAAGTCTCTGACAATCCCAGCTGAGTTGCCTGATCGGCAGAGGCTTTTCAAAGCATTAGAAAAAATGCTTTGAAAAGTCAAAAAAAAAAAAGTTGGCCACGCCCACTCAGTCACATTACCACCAAGCCATGCCCACAGAACCGGTAGCAACAAATTTTACATTTCACCCCTGAATGCAGTGACTGTTTAATAACTGTGGCAAGACAGGTCGCAAAATTGGGGCAAAATTCCCTTAGCAACAGAAATCTTGGCCTCAATTATGGTCGTAAGTCGAAGACTACCTGTAAATAGCATGTCATTTTTCTACCTCAAAATGTTGAGGAATAGCTCGCCTCTTCATCAATATTTACTACACCAGTCTCCAATTACAATGTCTCAAAGCAATGTCTCTCATTTTCTTCAGTTTCCAATGACAGTTTTCATCATTATACAAAAGTATAATGGTTTACTTTTAAAAGCCATGGAATAAGTGCAGCGTTTCTTGGTTCACCACCAAAAACAGAGAAAACACTTCTCTCCTAATTTTTCAGATATAAATGTTTGCCAAAGAAGTCCTTCTGTATTCAGTGGCGCTTTTAAGATATAACACAAGTTAACCTTCTCTTTATCTTGCTTCAGATTTATCCACAGACTCTATGACTCAATGACCCTTTAAAACTGTTTTCAGATGAGTAGCAAAATGGGTATTTGCAGCAAAACAGAATTTTTGAGACCTCAAGGGCATCTTTTAAAAAAATTACTTGACTTTTTTCTGCCACTGACCATAAGGTCTCTTATTGGTTTACAATAAATATTTAAGTTTATAAGATAATAATGGGTGTATTATTTTCCTGTTGAACGGGGTTAGCTTTGAAAATTGCCAGTTACCAGATAGGAGTTAAACACTAGAAATTTCTTACATATGAATACACTCACATGAAACAATATAGGAAGCAGAATAAATACAAATATACATTTGAAGACAACAAGAATGTTTTATTTCTGGAATTTCCATGCTTGGTCCCATTTCACAAAGCATGTGCACCTTCAGCGTTATCTTGACCCTACTTTCACCACAGCAGT